GTGGCCAAAAGACCAAAGTGTTCAGAAAAGCAACGAACACGACGCAAATTCTGAACCTCAACAGTAACCACCCAATCTGCCACAAAGGCAGTTGCGTAAGAACGCTATTTCGGCGTGTTGAGACGCACTGCAGTGAACCGGAAGACAAGGTTGCCGAATCCCAATATCTTCGACGGGTTTTCCGAGAAAACGGTTACCCGCGCAACTTCGTCAACCAGTGCCTGCGCAAACGAGACGAGCGACAAAATCGCGCCGACCCCAAATTCTGGCGAGCGATCCCGTACATCAAGAACGTCTTCGAGGCCGTTAGCCGCCTTCTTGCACCACTTGGGGTTGGAGTTGCGCACAGACCGGAGGCCACCATGAGGCGTCAAGTGATGAGACCAAAAGACCCACTGCCACGGCAAGAAACATCTGGAGTCGTTTATCGGATCTGGTGCAGTTGCGGACAAAGCAACTACGTCGGAGAAACTGGAAGACTGCTCCGGACGCGAATCGCCGAACACGTGGCAGCTGTACGGAGAAATGACGCCAACTCTCAGGTCGCGGCCCATTCGACGAGACCCGGCCACACATTCAAGTTCGATGAGGCCGAAATTCTCGCGAGAGGGGATAATCGCGCGAGCCGCGAGTTGTTTGAGTCATGGTTCACGGGACCTCAGTCTATCAACAAGTGCAACGACATCCCCACTCCATATTCTGTCCTGAGGCATAGACTGGCCAAAGCAATTGACCACTCGAGCAGCGCGCAAGCACGTGAGCCAGATGGCCGAGCAATCATCACGCCAGCATCCAACACGGGTGATGAGATGTCAGCAATTAACAACTTGCATGCCGGCCATCAAGCAATTAGCGCACCAGCGGGCAGCAATCCTTGATGAAGGGAGCACAGTTAATCGCTGTAGGTATGCGGTAGCATGGCGACCGCATCCTATAAATACTGCGACTTCCTGTACACTAACCACCCTTTTCTGCAACTGTCTCTGATGATGGATTCAAGAGAGAATCCGAAACGTCAGGCGAATAAGGCCATTGTTCCAGCGATCGCTTCTTCTTCTGATCAAACAGTGACGTATTCAAATGAAACCAGTGGAATTAAGGGGTCCGAAAGAAAGCATGAAACATCTCCGATCTGGACAAGCGTACACTAACTTAAATAGAAAGCGAGAGTTTTTGTCATCAAATGGCGTAGGATAAATCAGTTACGTCATCTTCCACGGCATATGACTTTCAACAAAGCGACAAAAACAAAGTACGTTTTCATGTATCAACTAACACTAAGGCAAGCTTAGCTAGCGTCAGTGTTTAAAAGGACATAGAGAAAGCGACGTCCCTGATCTCGGGGCAATGTTCCACAAGGAGGGTGCAAACGAGAGAGAACTTAACGAATGGCTGGTAGCATTCGCCTTGTAGTAAAACTGTTTTGTCAAGACCATTTTAAAGTTAATGGAGTTGCCAGATCCAAGCCCAGAGATGGCTCCATTGCGCGGCCCGTGTAATCCGAGTGTTAGCTTTTTTCCGGTAGGCCTTAGGGGGACGCTGTTTCGCCATCCGCTTTAGCGGACGTACCGTGTAACCAACAGGTGATCGCTATCTTCAAGGGGGTTTCTGTCGCCCGACTGCAGAAAATAACACTGAAACCGTATTTAATGATTATGAGGATAAACGGTCAACAAAACGCAACTAATTACAACGCTGTCACTCACCTCAAACTGCGACGCAACTCGATCGCAAAGGCTCTGTGGTGTGCAGCCAATGGACTGGGCGGCTCTCGCGATCTGTAGACAAAAATTACGCCAGTTAGTGGAAAAAAGGCATAGGTATTTGAGGCAGACACGTCCATGCGGCCTACCTTGCAGCCGTGTTCATCAACTCCGGTAGAAAAAAGGATGTTGCGTGACGAGGCCGTGTCCTCGGTGGGAGGTCTGATGAGGTTTGTCGCCGGATTGGCGAAAGCTTGGGTGCAGGGGTGGCCACGTAAGCGAGTGTATCGAGCCCAAGCGTCAGCAATGCACAAAGTGTACGCGTGGCCAATATGCGGGCCTAATTGGGGCAAATTACCGGAAAACAAACGAAGAACAAATTCACAAAGACAGCAGGCGACTACAGGGCCAAAATAAACATACCCACAAGATACCAACGTGGAATATAGGGGGTAACTCTTAAGAAAGAACAGAAAGGCGCCCACTTGTTCTCTGTGTCTACACTAGTTATGCAGCTGTCGGCTGATCACCAAAAAAGACGCTTGGATGCACAAAGCTGTGCTAAGCCCAGCGGTTACAGCCCGGTAACCCCTTCAACTGGCGAGTGGCAGCAGATGAGGGTTGGCCGAAAAGTTCGTCAGCGTTCGATCTCATATCCAGTCGTCTTGACCTGGCTCTGCTCCTGGGAGGCCGACGCTGCGCAGATTATCTTCCTCCCAGTCACCTTGGCGAATAAGATCATTGTCTTTTACGATAGGCGAACGACTGTTCGTGCCGTAATCCACAACAATGAAGTGTTGTTCAAACTTCGATCCAGACCAGTGGACCTGCGCGCCCTGAATGTACTCTTGTGTGAAACGTTAGAGGAGGAGACGCTCTGCCACTTACAACATCGAGATATTGTCTCATTTACGACAAAAGGCGGTCTCCAACACTGATCCACAGTACATTCTGCTGAGGGAGAACACAAGCTTCAGATTGTCAAATGCTAGTACCGAATAGGGGTCTGTGGCACAAGCTAATCACCCATGAAGCGGGAGAGCCCCCAGGGTTGTGCATTGTCATATGCAGTCCTTCAGGGCAAAATAGTCTCCACCGCGTGTTGTGGGGACGGCCACGGTTTATAAGCCTCGGTGAAAGAGAGCATGGACCGCTTGAACATTACTTCAGTATGCAATACGGAGACATAGACGTAGACACAATGGCTGAACCAAGACTCTCATTCGCCTGAAGCTTCGGATTCACACTCGAATCCCTCATCAAAGACGACACCGGATGATAGTAACGGGTGCACAGGGGTTTCCGTACCTATGCCACTACACACCAGTCCACAGTCAGCGACCCCCCGCCCCCGGTAATCGCAGATGTTGCTTGGGTGTGCACATAGTTGCACAATTTCACCGCCCATACCTATCTAGGGGGGGGGAGGGGGATAAATTACTGCTACTGTTGCTGGAACGACCACATAGCTTTCCCAACCGTTCGGTATTCGGTCTGGCGTTCGACAGGGTTGTATTCTGTCACCCGTTCTGTTCAACTAAGCTATTGACTGGATCCTCGGGAGGGCCCTACAGGAGGGTGACGGCGTTGAGCTTGCACCCCGACACCGACTAACTGATTTCGACTATGCCGATGATATCGCCTTACTTGCTTCAAGTTTTGGTAATCTGCAGTCTATGGTGTCACGGGTGAACGAGGTCGCTAACTCTGTCGGTTTGTCTATAAACGCTGGGAAGAATAAAGCGTTTGCAAGCTGCATCCCTGACCAGGAGAAGGCACCCCTTTGGGATTGATGGCTGTCAACTTTATGAAGTAGACAGTTCTAACTACCTCGGGGCGAGGCTGCTGCCTAATGGACAGAGTAAGGACGACATCGTCTTCCGAATCGATCCTGCCCGCAGGGTTTTCTCAAGCCTTCGGAAATGCCTATGGATCCGACGTGACCTCATCATCGCCACTAAGATTCGCGCGTACCGTGCATATGTCCGGTCTGTCCTTCTCTACGGTTGTGAATGCTGGGCTTTGTGCGTGGAGGACGAGCGATGACCGGAGGTATTTGACCACCACTGCTTGAGGGCCATCCTTCGGGTGAAGTTCACCGACTTCGTCTCAAATGAAACAGTCCGCACTCGCTGCGACAACATCGCAAGGATAACTCAGGCCATCCAAGAAAGACGACTGTGGTGGTTCGGGCATGTTCTTCGTCGTCCACCTCAGGAGCTCAGCGTTACTGCCCTCGATCCGGCACCGCTACCTCATTGGAGGCGTCGAAGAGGGGGTCAGTTCAAAACCTTGCTCGATACAGTTCGCCAAGACATGGAGGTGGTTCTTGGACCTTCCGTATTCGGTCTACGTCGTTGGCGAAGGGAATGGGTTAAGCTTTCCAGATCTGCTGCCGCGGATTGTCACGTGTGTAGAGGTACAGTTCGTGACATCATCGAGGCCGGCTAGATCAAGCATGATCGCAGCCGTATCAAGTACAAGTACAAGGATGGTAGCTCGGGCATGATTTGTTGCTGCAAATCCGAGCCGCGCATACACGAAATTTGGGCCGGCAACGTTAGCATAATCGCAGCCGCATAAATGAAAACTACAACTTTTGGTCAGAATACGGCCGTTTCGGCCGGGGGGACCGAGGTTCTGCTGTCCGCAAGCGTAACTAAGTGCAAGGGGCTGACTGTTTACACTATTACTGCGAGCGAGCAGCGTGATAATATGTAACAGAGCGTGGGGACTGAAGCTTCTTATTGACAAGACAAGTAGACGGATAATATCCGTGGTACTTACTAGCATTCACGTAGAAAATCGGAGTCGTTATGAAAGAGACGATTGGGTGCATCCTTTCAGCAGGTTACAGTTAGACCTTCAAAGATATGAGTGAGAATAGTAGCAATTTGGTCGCCAAATATGTAGCATCGCTCAATTTCGAGGCAGCCTAGAGGGCCATGGCGGTTTGGGCTATCTAAATAGCAAAATACAGCAAATCAAAATAACGACGAGTGTGTGGTAATAAAGCATTTTTGAAGTATGATTCAGCTACCACTGAAAAGCAAATAAGTTTATTGCAAGAGGCAGAAGTTATGAGTCGAACTCATGAAGGCCTGTCTTTTAATCTAAGCCCTTTTAAAACAACTGATTGATTCAAAAAACCGACACCTTTTCGAGAAGTCGAACGCCAGTTTGGCAAAAATGAGGCGTTTGTCACAGTAATTTGTAGGATGGCTCGCAGGACACGCTGGTGAGACAAGCTGAAGGGTCCCAGTGTCAGTCACTACTGAGATTAATTAGAATTTGGCAATGTACGCCCTCGAACCAACCAGGCCATGTTGGTAAGAACGTGGGACTTACGTTACTTGTCAGTCATATTTTGGAAAGCAGGCACACAGCATCAACGGAAAACCAACATGCTGGAAAAGCGCACACAATGAGGCAACAAATAAAAGTGGCGAGGGCGAGAACGCAGACAGGCAGGGCAAACAAACTCCCAGACCTAGGCGCCATGTATGCAACTTTCGAGTGCATAAATACACGTATACATCACAGTATTTCAATCTTCACAGGTGGCGAGGTTCGTCACGACCCCACAAGAAGGGAGAAGTTGCGACTTGCGCGCGAACTTGTTTAGAGTGACGGAGACTTCGAACGCATCTACCCCATCCCCTCCCAACCCACAACGTCAACCACCTCCAGACTGCGAGCTCAAGACGATCAAAGGTGGGGGTGGGGGTAGCGGCCGACAGGGTTCAACACCTCGTCAACTACATGCGGCTCGGTCACTAGCTCCACAAACACCAAATTTGAGTGGGGTTTTGGATCGCATGTAAGTGGTTCTGTCGTAAAGGTCATGTTGAAGAGTCACTGCATTCTGGCTCCCATCCCAAAAGAGGACCGCGCTATCCCGTCAGTCAACAACCGTTCCGGTGCGACGCATCATCTCGATCTTGGTGCAGTTATAACCGCTAGGTCAGGCAAATCTAGGTATTTGCGCAACCTTAGTTCAAACTCTGTACACAACTCAGCATTTGAAGACTGAAGTCTCAGTTGGGCAATGTAGAACGACATAGGCCCGGGCAGCTTGCAAGACAACATCCCAATTGCGTCACCTAAGTTCGCATGCGCCCAGTACGATAACCAGCTCATTGCAATAGGGTACTTATATTGGCCACATAATTAACGATAAAGACAACATCAACTAGTATATCCAACCGTCAGGGGAGGCGCTTCTAGTTAGACGTGCGTTAGCAGACCTCAAAAAAGGGCACCAGAACGCATTGTAAGGGCCGAAAATGCAGGCTTTTTAAAAGGAAAAAGATGCAAGCGAGAAAAAGACTGGATACGTGGTGGCGAGGACTGAGCGTTTTTATCCTTTGGTGTTTGTAACCGGGCACGTGCCCGGTACTGCGGTACAGATATCCACATGGATATTGTCCTCCGAAACCCTAAGTCTAACCTCTGAGTGTTCACCCCCCTTGGTCCCCTCCGGACCTCAGAATTCATGTGCGTTCACTGACGCTTCTTGTTTCCTCTTCCCCCATCTCCATCTGTCCGTTTAAACATCGTTCACTTTTTGGACCTTCTTAAATAATCGAGGATTTATCTGTCTGTTTGAGATACTGTTTGTCCTGCGATGTCAAGATCGAAAACCACCCCTTTAGAAAAGAAGAAAACATCTACTCTTCCGTCCCATCTCATCATGACAACGGGCACTGCCCCACACCCGATACCTCCGCCTGCTACGGCATCATACGATCTGGCAGGCGGACTTCACAGCACTTGTTTCTGGCCTATAGAAACCAAACCATAAATATGGTATCTCATTAAGGTTAATATTAATTAATGCAAGAGGTAAATAATGTGCTACAAATAACTTTAACCAAGTACGGTCGACTTAACCAGATATGATCGACAAGAGAAACCTGCTTTTACGGAAAATATTTCTTGAGATCGACACTACCTACACCACGCCTTGACCGAAAGTGTAAGTGTAACACCCCAGCAGACCTGACGGACAGAAACCCCTTTGTTTTAACGTCACTCACTCTTTTTGTAGATCGATCGTGAGGTCTACTCACTCGAGTCGATCACCGGTGATGATCGATCTGATAAGTCCAATCGTTGACAACTTTTCGTTTATCTGTTTTTGTTGTGCGTTGATCCTTATGCGTCTACTGTTTCATCTTTTCCCAGATTTTTGAACCGCATTTTGCGTGTATCCATGTACATATCGAGTTTCTGATGTTTTCGTTCATGACTATTTTTCTATCGTTCGTTACCGTTCGTTTTTTGCAATCGAGTTTCGGCGTCAATTCACTGACATAGATTATCTCTCACAGCCAATCAACTGTTTACATCTTCCACCCATCGTTTAATACTCATTACTTACCTGTGTGTCTGCAACGAATGCCTGTGTAACGGATACCTTAGGTGCGAACACTCAGGAGTCGGAGTCCCTTACCAAGAAGCGGAAGTTATACTCAGATCCTATTGATCCCCGGACTGTTCCTTCACCAAGTCCCCAGGACATTATATTGGTGGCAGCCGGTGAGCGCACCGGCCCTTTCCCCCATCCACACCCGAACCCACCCACCCATCCCGCCCAACGGTCTAACGCCCTACACTCCTCCGGACCTAGCCCCCTACTAGCATCCGAACTATACGAGCCAGGACAGAACATCCGAGAATGGCTCCAAGACCTGTCTCTCCTCCTAGTGAGCGTCCCTCCTCACGAACACGTATGCTACCTCTTACGCTTTCTGTCACCCCCCGCCCGTAGGCTAGCGTTTAACGCCGGTCTAACCCACACATCTGACTTCCAAAGGGCCTCTGAAGTTGTCCTGCAACTCTTCGCCAGCCCCGATGCATCGGCCATAGCGAACCAGCGGTTCACCACACTAAGACAACGGCCCGGACAATCAGTTGATGACTTCGCCCACAACCTACGACGTCTGGCCGCTGCGGCGTTCGCACATCTTCCAGAAAGTGATCGCGACCGGTTCATTCTACACCAGTTTATCACCGGCCTTAGGGACCGCACCGCCAGCGGTGTCCTTTTGTTACACCCACCCGCCAGCCTGTCATCGGCTATCCAACAATGTAGGCTCTACGAAGAGTGTTACCCGAGAGCAAATGGGCCCACACACCGCACCAACAGCCCCACCCGTACGACTTTCCCACTCAACAGACGGTCTTCCGCCTTACCAGTTCGATTTCTGGACCACAACCCCGGATGCCCCTATTGCGCAGCGTTTGGACCCCAAGCTCGGCGATGTGGACATAACCAGTCAAGTAAGTCAGCCTTCGTTGCTCCTGCCTACCTGGCTTTATCATCCCACCCACTCCCTTTCACAATACCCGCTACGCTAGACGGTCACAATATACCAGCCTTAGTAGACACGAGCGCCAACGTTTCCCTCGTGAATAGCTCAAACCTCACCCGAGAGTTATATGAACAAATCGATCACACGAGCGGCCCCCATACCCTGCGGGCAGCGAACGGCACCCTTATAACCATCTTGAGTCGCATAACCCTAGACCTCACTATAGACAACACAGAGGTCACATACCAATTCCTGGTGACATCTGATTGCCCGTGGGCATTAGTTCTAGGGTTGGATCTCCTGGCAGACTACGACTGCGTTATCCACACCAAGAGTCGCCGCCCGTCAATTCCGGCACACCCAGATCCTTCCAACCACACACCTCCACAGAACCTCGATCTGATATTTGACGCCGTGGTAGCAGCCGCAACTCTCGAGCCGTCCGAATTCGACGCGAACCTACCCCCAGCAGAAACAGTCGGGGCAGAGAACCGCAATAGACTATGTAAACTTTTACTGTCATTCCCCGGGTTGTTCACCTGGTCAACCGATACAATCGGACGCACCCACAAAGTTCAACACGTTATTAACACGGGCGACGCCAAACCCATTTGGCAACCCCCACGCCGAATACCGGTACGATTCCGCGCAGAGGTCGACAAAATCATAGACGAGCTGCTAAAAGCTAACATTATACAGCCGTCTTCCTCTCCATGAGCATCACCGATAGCCTTGGTCCCCAAAAAGACGGCTCTCTCCGTCTCTGCATAGACTATCGCCGCCTGAATGCCGTCACTGTCCGTGATTTATTTCCATTGCCGCGTTTAGACGACACCTTAGATAGCCTTGGTGGGGCAGCCTGGTTCTCGACCCTGGACCTTAAATCAGGCTATTGGCAGGTCGAGATAGACCCCAAAGACCGCCAGAAGACCGCGTCTATCGTACCACAAGGGCTATTCGAGTTCCAGACGCTTCTTTTCGGCCTATGTAACGCCGCCGCCACCTTCCAACGATTGATGTACCAGATGTTACGACACCTTGTCCCACACAAGTGCCTCGTGTATCTGAACGACATCATCGTGTTTGGACCTGACGTCGAACAACATAACCGTAATTTAAGAGAGGTGTTAGAAGCCCTCCGCGCTGCCGACCTGACGTTGAACTCGGCCAAGTGCACGTTCCTACGGCCAGAAGTACAATTCCTAGGCCATAAAATCTCCCCAGGCCGCATAGCCGCTCTACCGGACCGACTGCAACAGATTCGCATCTGGCCGACACCCGCCAACCAGACGCAATTACGTTGTTTCCTGGGGCTGGCCTCTTACTACCGACGGTGTATGCGTAATTTCGCCCACATTGCCAGGCAAATCCACAAACTAACAGAGAAGGGTAGAGACTTCAGATGGCCTCCGGAGTGCGAAGAGGCCTTTACCAGTCTGCGTGCCGCCCTCGTCTCCGCCCCGCTTCTAGCTCTCCCGAACGTTTATCCTGACGCCCCTCCATTTATCCTCGACAGAGACGCCAGCGGCTTTGCCATTGGTGCAGTTCTGTCACAAACGGACGCTCAGGGCGTTGAACACCCCATCTGTTTTGCGATTAACACGCTGACGAAGTCTCAACGGAACTACTGCACGTTCTGCAGAGAACTCTTAGCCATAATCACGTTCATACGGCAGTTCAAACACCTTCTTATTGGACGCCGTTTCATACTACGAACGGATCATAAAGCCTTGCAGTGGCTCCAGTCCATTAAAGACCCTATGGACCAGCTCGCACGTTGGCAATAGTTTCTTCAAGATTTTGATTTTGACTGCCAATTTCGGCCCGGTCATAAGCACGGCAACGCCGATGCCCTCTCCCGTCTACTGAAACGGGAACCCACACAGAGTCGGTTAACGCCATCATGATGTCAGAAACTATCCGTCACACCTGGGCAGACGCACAGCGTACTGACCCCGAGCTCCAATGCAACCCATGACCACGGGTATCCCCGGAGAACGCGTGGGACTGGACATTATCGGCCCCCTTCCGATATCCGTGCGCGGATATGAATACATACTAGTGATGGTCGACTCCTTCACAAAATCGGTCTAAGCGGTACCCTTACTCCGCCAAGACGCCATCTCCGTCGCCAACGCTGTCAACAGGTCCTGGATTTGCCGTTGGGGCTCCTCCCTAGTCTTTAACACTGACTGTGGGAGCAATTTCGACTCGCGACTATTCCAGGAAGTTTGCCGCACACTGGACGTCAAAAAACCCGTACAACACCATACCACCCCGAAGGCAATGGTCTAGTCGAACGAACCAACCGCACCCTTCACAACCTCCTTCTGGCCTTTTGTAAAGACAGTCACGAACACGACTGGGACACACAACTACCCTTCTGCCTAATGGCATACCGAAGCTCAACCCACGCCTCCAGCGAATTTACACCTCATTACCTCTGGACTGGACGCGAGTTAGTCTCCCAGTAGACCTTAAACACCCCTTAGATGCTCCTGACCCCACTACCGTTACCACATATGCCTCCTAACTCCGCGAAACAATTCGGACCGCCTATAACGCGGCACGCGAGGTGATCGGCATCTCATCAGCCCACCAGAAAACACAGAGCGATCGCTGTTCGACCGGCACTACACATCAAATCGGCGACTTAGTTATGCACCACAATCCGGTACCTCCACGAGGAATGTCAACCAAATTCCATTACCCATGGCAAGGTCCCTTTTTCGTCTTAGATACCCCGTCCCCCACGACCTATCTCATACGTGACGCTTCACAACCCCACGCGCCACCTTTCACAACAAACTTCAACAAACTCAAACCCTACCGCGGTCGTCTACCCATCTGCACACCCGACTCCCTACCCATCATCCCATATGACCAGGTCCCCCCAGCAGCCGTCGAAGTCACTATACCCTCGCCCATTATCCCCAGCAGCACTGAGGACAGTGCTGCACCTTCAGAGGGGGACTATGTAACACCCCAGCAGACCTGACGGACAGAAACCCCTTTGTTTTAACGTCACTCACTCTTTTTGTAGATCGATCGTGAGGTCTACTCACTCGAGTCGATCACCGGTGATGATCGATCTGATAAGTCCAATCGTTGACAACTTTTCGTTTATCTGTTTTTGTTGTGCGTTGATCCTTATGCGTCTACTGTTTCATCTTTTCCCAGATTTTTGAACCGCATTTTGCGTGTATCCATGTACATATCGAGTTTCTGATGTTTTCGTTCATGACTATTTTTCTATCGTTCGTTACCGTTCGTTTTTTGCAATCGAGTTTCGGCGTCAATTCACTGACATAGATTATCTCTCACAGCCAATCAACTGTTTACATCTTCCACCCATCGTTTAATACTCATTACTTACCTGTGTGTCTGCAACGAATGCCTGTGTAACGGATACCTTAGGTGCGAACACTCAGGAGTCGGAGTCCCTTACCAAGAAGCGGAAGTTATACTCAGATCCTATTGATCCCCGGACTGTTCCTTCACCAAGTCCCCAGGACATTATATAAGATAATGATATTCTACGGAACTGTGAATGGAGCGCATCTTGCGCCTAACTCTGCTGGGGCACCCTCTAAAATGCTAAGTCACTGCTCAACTTTCTACTTTAAGAACGACCGAGTGCCTCGCAGGAGAACTAGAAGCGCTGCAAACCTTCGCCACTCGCCCGCACGTCGGTACGTGAGCTAGCACAGCCTCAGGAACGACGCCTAAGAACTCGGCCTCACTTAGCAAATTTTCCAAGCTGACGCCGCCTGCATTTTGCATAAAGCCTAGCAATTCACGCCCCTAGACAAGCAGACGAGACGCGCACGCACACCTAGAATCGGTCGCGCGTTGGGCGGCTTTGATAATCATTGTTCAAGCAAGGCTGGAGGTGACTGCTCTGTACGTCGGAACCATATCGATAAACCTATTGACTGAGTTTCCATCCGAGGCCCCGGTCTACGTCAACTATCGAATTGTTTTGCTACTCGTTCGGGCGATTATCTCTTTTTTATTATGTTTGTATTTAATTGATTAAAGGCACATCTCTTGATTACCCTTTTTATGTACAATGATTTCGCATATTCACGCTCAAAACAAAGTTGCAGTCAGAATGTAACTGGCTCATAATAAAACAGTAATACTAAGGAAGCGCATCTGTTCAATGCGAGTCAGGGCGGAAAGAGTGAGTACGAAAAGGTGTTTTGCGAAGCTGGCTGTAGGCACGCTGTAAAAGTCGGTCTTTGTCGAAAATTGCTTTAGTAATTTTCATTTTAATCATGCGAATTGCGTCGGCCGTCACCGTCTCACTTGGTGGCGAGCTCAGTGGTCGGGCAACGCGTTGGCTGAAGGAACACTTCCTATGATCGAGACGGGTGCGCGTTCTTATTGAACAACCTTGGCCGCGGACAACCCGGAATGTCCAAAGTGGACTCTAGTTTAGTTGCCTATAAGAGAGAGGGAATAAGCCAAGCACATTCAGCCTCTCCTGGTACGAGAAATGCTTTAGGCCATCGACCATTTTTGTTCCTCTCCGTTGCACCTGTTCGAGTAGGCGGGTATTTTTCCTCATCCACGATGAAGCTGCTGGCATTCCATATTCCAGGTGAGGTCTTACAAAGACGTCGTAAAGTCTTCCGTAGAGTTCGGGAGGAAATATTTTAAATGCACGTCCGATCTAATGTAAAGCAATAGCTGCCTTCTGGACTATCTACTTACAGTGTTCTGATGGCATTCGATTTGTGATCGCCCATACACCCAGATCGCTGTGTCTTTCTACATTTTGCAATGCCGTCCCGTTAATATAGTACTGATGTTTGAGATAGGCATTTTGGTCGGTGTTTTATGTGTAAGACCACGTATTTGGATACATTAAACTTTTAAAGCCATTTGTTCGACCAGACACGCAGTTTGCCAATTATCGATTGCAACTTCTTTGCGCCACCAACGCACTTGACTTTACTTCACACGTTAATGTCATCCGCGAAGATGGGAGTCTCGTAGCTTAGTTTGCCGATGCAATCATTTGCGTAAATCAGAAAGAGTAGTGGGCCCAAAGCAGAACCCTGTGGGATACCACTCTCCACTTTTGTCCATTCCGAGCGAGAATTACCAGCGACGCTCTGTACCCTGGAGGACAGGAAACTTCTGAACCACTTAAACATTCTTCCTCGGATTTCTACACCCGGCATCTTCTGTAAAAGAAGCCTGTGTGGGACGCTACCAAAGGTTTTTTGAAGCCAAAAAACTTGATATCCCCTGGAGAACCCTTATCTGTGACCCTTGTCTATTTCTCGTGCGATTAAGGAACATTCGTAAGGCAAGAACATACTGGACGAAAGTCAGGTTGGGCATCGCTGAATATTATGTTTTTCCGGGTATTCCATCAAATGTCTTTTGATAATGCCCTCTATTATTTTACACGCGATGAAAGTTGGACTGACAGGTCGGTAATCTTCGCAGTCAAGTCGTGAACCTCCTTTATATCGGAGTCATGAATGCGCACTTCCATTCTTCCGCGAGTTCGCCTTCCTCAAATGACTTTCGAAATATTGCAGACAGTGGTTCGCATACTTCATTATCAATTCCTTGAAATGCTAATGCAGGAACTCGATCGGGACCAGGCGATTTGGCAGGCTTCAGTTGGAGTAATTTGGCCCAAACTATGGCCGATGAAGTGTGGGTCCTTGATTAAAGAGAGGAGGGAGGGGTAGGAGGGAGAAAGGGGGTAGGGACAATGGGAGGAGACGTCGGTTGATGAACGGGTGGAGAGGCTGGTAAAGAATTAATTCCTCGGGTGAAGACGGTCTGACAGAAATTAGAAAGGAGGGACGTTTTAACCCGATCCTCATTCTCCAGTTTCCCGTCTATAGTTCTAACGACAGGGATCACTCCCATAGTCATCTTAGTATTTTGAATATAGCAATGGAGAATTTCGTGGTTTTTCGACGAATTTTGCAGTACGTCCAGCTCGGATCTCCTTCACAGTTTAGGAGATTCACTTTTACAAATGTTGTGCTGCTGCTTTTATTCCCGAAAGTGCTCTTCGGAGTCGGTTAATCTGTAACGCCTCCAAAGTGATCTATTTTTTGAAAGATACCTGTAAGTCCGAGCTTACTCACTTAAGGCGGTTAGTGATTGTCTTTCTTCTGGGAAGGCAGATTAGATAAATAATCGCCATCAGTAAGGAACTGAAAGTCTTCCAATTGTCGTTTGTCCTACCGTACAGTCCTGTCTCACGATACCCCGTGACACTTCCCTCCTCATAAGGGAATAGTTCCCCTTCCAAACGGTTCTTTCCCACCTATCAGGCAGAAAGGGTTTGAAAAACAGTTATTACTTGAAGTGCAGCTTAACATGGTCGCTTGACCCTAATGGCGGTCGGTCCTGCAGGTCAAGCACATTTTCCACCTCTCGGGTAAAACTAAGGTCAAGACAGTTCGACTGTTGTCCTTCCCTAGCCCACGTTCCAAAGGCAACGTTCTGGCGGCGGAGCTTGTCGGTTACCCATTGTAGCAACTTCTTATTAAAGTTATCTTGCAGTCTTAGCGCAGTCCACGTTTGCCAATCAATGCCACGGACGTTAAAATCCCCAACGATAAGTACAGCTTTCTTCTCACTTGCTTTGTACAGTTCAGTTGTCAGAATGAGATCTTGGCCAGAAGTCTGGTTAGGCGAACGGTACACCACTAAAAGCGTCAGTGATAGGAAATACTTAGTAGATATGCTGATGCATAACAGTCCCTCATCCCGTACCAGACTACGCTTCTTAGCCACAGAGGTCAGCTTGCAGGTGTCATAAATCATGACTCCTCTTCGGCTTGGTCTCCCTCTCCTGAGTTGTTGATATCCTCTAGGTGGTAGTTTTGGAATTTGCAGTTGTAGCGACCGATAACGTCAAGGGCGGCACATACCAAAGTAAGGAAAAGCTGAGAAGAGATCCTGGCAGAGGTAGACCTGAACAGAACTGTTAGTATCCCTTAAAACTCATTCACACGTAGGAGAAGGAAGTGCATAAAGCATGGGATACAGTATAATGGAACGAAATTGATACATAGAATGTGTATAATAAACGTTAGTGTACACGTGGAATGAGAAACTACGAATAAATGACTTGTCTGGATGGATAGGTGACCCTGACATACTAGCTAAACTGCCGGTGAGGATGCTGCTCTGTGAGCAACTGCAGGGAAGGGCCGAGGAGGGGTGGGGATGAAGTTGAGTGGGAGAGAGAGGAGAGCGACGGTACGTTGCGGGAGGGTGGGTGTCGGCGGTAGCGAGAGGAAGGGACACCGGCCGCCCTCACCAGCACGCAGTTACACCATCTCCATCCCAGGTCTGCGCCAAAAGTTTTACAACATTCAAACAATCCTGTTTATGCCAAGGGGCGTTACACAGTATCTCCAGACAACCACAGCCATAATGTCTAGTGTAATTTTATCAACTAAGTCTCGTAGTCGAGTTTGTTGAAGAAGCTTTGAACATTCGCGGAGATAATCTTCCGTGATCGTTTGATCGGAAAAGCCCAGTCTCCATGGAAACGGGTCTTAATTAAAGCAAAAACTCGTTGATCCGGACTATTTGGCCATTTTTGATTTTTAATCCTTCCTCCCCTACGTCACTCCTCCCCATCAATTTTGTTCTCGGTTCTCTCATTTTCAGTCTTTCCCTCGGCTCGTAGTCCGGCTGAAAAACACTTCATTGTGCGAACTCCTTAAGGTCATTCCCCCTTCTAAGAGAAATGCTGCCTGGACTTCGCTTTCTAAAATAACTTTCAGGACTCTTGGATATGTTTTCAGATCACGAACTTGGTCTGCTTTGCCTAGTCGGGAAACATTTGACAGTTTGAATTTTCCCATATTTCAGGACAGCACTGCCGTATTGATGAAGAGGATCTAGGTCGTGCGTCACCCTTTCCTTCGGAATGCATGACGCGGACTTTGGGACTTTCCTTATTACGATATTGGGGTAACGATTTACGGGCGGGCTCTTTACTGCTCCGCCTGCTTTAGGACGGTATAGAATAGAATAGGCTTATTATAGCGACCCTTGGGCACTGTCAGTCTCCTTTAAACTTATATAGCCATCGTGGCGCTTCCGATGGACGACGGTACACCAACACTAGACTGGACTTCGTCTGACGTTGGGGTTGTGGGACCTTAATTTACGTGGTGTCTACAAAGTAAAACTCCTGACCCATATCGTATGTACGGGCATCCACTTGTGATAATTCGTCGCTTCGTTGCGCAGTCAGTTTATGTTCGTGCATACGCGATCCGCGCATGCGCCCAATCTGACCTGTATAGATACAAGGACGGTATTGGCATGAGGCGAGATACCCCCAGATTGTTCCTCGGGGCTTGACCGGTCTTTAATTTTCATGGCATTGCTGCGTACGGTGCCCATGAGTCGATGTACAATTCCAACACCAAGTTTTGCAGCAGTGCTGTCAGTCGCTCATGAAACGCCCTTGATGTTTGGCAGAAAATTCTATTTCCTTGGTAGCGTTGCTATTGTGGTTTTTTGTGGGCGGTATCGACTTATAAGTGCCTTCATGTAGCTATTCAGCACTAACTGGCAGCGGCGAAAAGCGGTCTGTCGTGCCCTTCAGTTTGGTGCAATAATTCTGCAACAGTTTGAAGAGAGTCTTCAAGGAGCTTCGTTTATGAGCCACCGGATGGTTACTGCGAAAACGGAGACAGCCCTGCATATTCCTGCGAAGGGAACGGGGCTAGAAGAGGTGCTCTAAACAAATGTCGAGATCACGTTCTCTCTGCCTGCGGATGCAAAACACACGGTCAAAACAATAAAACACGAAATCACACACTCTCTTTTCCCCCCTCCCCCCACCCCACCCCACGGGCTGGTAGAATGCGTCCGCCCACTCTGGCGGCCTGAAATGTCCGTTTCCTTTTAAACATGCCCCGAACCAACTGCCGGAGCGGAGGATGGTGCTAGTGGCCCAGGAGTTGGCGAGCTGCGAGGTAGACATCACTGCATTCATTGAGACCCGGTTCTCTGAACAAGGCCAACTGGATGAGATGGGTGCTGGCTACACCTTCTTCTGCATCAATCGCCCCAAGGCAGGGCGACATGACGCGAATGTCTCCTTTGTCATCCAGAGCGACATCGTGGGAGGCCTGCCCTGTCTGCCTCAGGGCATTAACGATCGCCAGATGAGAGTTGGCCTACGTCTCCGGGGAGGCAAATTTGCCACCATTGTCAGCGTCTACGCTCTCGATGACCAGCCCCGACGCTGCAAGTAACAAATTCTATGAAGACCTGCACCCCCTCCTGGTGACTGTGCCGAAGTTGAATAAGTTAATTGTCCTTGATGACATCAACGCCCGCGTCGGCGAAGACAATGCTGCCTGGACAGGAGTGCTGAATCTCCATGGGCTCGACGGGTCCAATGAAGTTGGCCTATTCCTCCCACGAACCTGTTCGGGACACCGCCTCAACCTGACCACCACCATTTCCGCCTACCAACACGAGAAAAGGCCTCCTGGAGGCGCCCTCGATTGCGACAGTGACACGTGCTGGGCTATGTCCTCGTCCGGTGGCGAGACCAGCAGGACGTGCTGATGACAAAGGCGATCCCGGGCGCTGATGGGTGGACCGGCCATCGCCTCTTCATCTCCAAAATGAGGATTGGCCTGCAGCCTCGCAGCAGACCTCAAGGTAAGCGACCCCCAGGTAGACTGAATATTGCTTTGTTGTCTTTGCCTGTTCACCATCTCCATTTCATCAACGAGCTAGCCCAGTGGCTAGCCAGCCTTCCAGTCGTCGCCGCATCCGCCGCCGCCGACGAAAATATATCCGCAGAGAACCGATTGTGTCAACTGCCGGACACATTTCAGTCGACGGCCCTGGTTGTTTTCGGTCACTCACGACGCCAACATCAGGACTAATTCGACGGTAATGGTGTCGTCATTGGCAACCTGCTCACCAAGAACGGGCTGCACGAAGCCTACGTCAACCACCCTACCGAAAACAACAAAGCAGCCTTCTACCGTAGTCACTGCCTTGTGCAACAGCGGCTGCGGGAGACGGAGGAGGCCTGGACAGTTCGCACGACTAAGGCGACCCAAGGATGCGCAGACCGCAACGAATGAAAGGACTACTTCGTCGCGACTAAGGCTGTCTACGGTCCAGCAGCCAAAGACACCGTTCCTCTTCTGGGCTCCGATGGCAATACCCCACTCACCGAGAAGATACGAATTCTATAGCGATGGGCCGAACACTTCAGAGGCGTCCCCAACCGTTCCTCCATTATCCCCGACGTCGCCATCGCCCGTCTGCCTCAAGTGGAGACCAACGGCGATCTCGATCTTCCGCCTTCTCTCCACAAACCCTTAAGGCCATACAGCAGCACCCCAGTGGGAAAGTGTTCGGGTCGCACGCAATTTCTGCTAAGATTCACAAGTGCGGTAGCCCCATCTGACGGCGCTCTTCCAGGAGATGTGGCGTCAATGAGACGTTCCTCAGGACTTCAATGACACCACAGTCGTCCACTTCTATATGCGGAAAGAAAACTACCAAAATCTGTGACGACCACTGAGGCATCCCCCTAATGAACAACATCGAGAAGATCTTCGCGCGTATCCTTCTCAACCGTCTCAACGACCATCTGGCACAAGGTCTCCTACCAGAAAGTCAGTGCGACTTCCGCCGTCACCGTGGGAACATTGACATGATCTTCGCTGCCCGCCAACTGGAGGAGAAGTGTCAGGAGATATAGATCCTATACTGTACCTCCGCAAATCTGACGAAAGCCTCCGACATGGCGAATGGCGAAGGATTGTGTAAAATCATGCAGAAATTCAGCTGTCCCGAGAGATTCACTCAGATGGTGCGTCGGCTCCACGGAGGCATGGTGATACGCGTCACGGAAAGTGCAGCAGTCTCAGAGGGATTCACGGTCGCCAACGGAGTGAGGCAGGACTCGTCCTCAAGCCTCTCCTCTTTATTCTTATCTTATCTGCATACCGCGACAAACGACCCGCGGTCCGCATCGTCTACAGGAGGGGCGGACAACAATTCAATCAGCGACGAATGCGCTTTCAGGTTTGCGCATCCGCCACGACCGTCCATTAACTTCTCTTCGCCAACAACTGCGCTCTTGACGCCACCTATAAAGGGGACATACAAAGGGGCACGGACCTCTTAGTCGCCGCCGCCTGCGACAACTTCGGCCTGACCATAAACACGGAGAATACGGTGGTCATGCATCGACCTCCACCCGATGCTGTCTACGTGGCACCCCAAATCAAAATGAACGACGCCTAACCGTGAGCCCTGTGCAACTTAACCTACCTGGGCAGCGCCCCCTCACACAACATCATAATCGAAGATGAAGTGACCCGCCGATTGTCCAAGTCCAGCCAAGCCTTTGGCCGCCTGCGAAACATAGTTTGGAATCGACACATCAGCACCAAACTGACGATGTACAAATCGGTCATCTTGACGACGCTGCCGTATGGAGCGGAGACTTGAACGATGTATAAGAAGCAGGCACGAAGACACAACTACTTCCACCTCAGCTGTCGCCGAGAGATATTGACAGTGAGGCGGCAGGGCCGGATCCCGGAGACGGATGTAGTGGAGCGGATGGGGATCCTTAGCATCTACATCTAAACGTTTTCCATTTTTGTATCAAAATATGCTTTCGCTTAAAACAGTCTTCCATCAGAAATTAGGTCGCTACCTATTTCATCGGTGTTTAAATCGACGTTACGCAAGTAGGTTACACCGGAAAGCGTAAAGGCGCTACCGACCGTCTCATTCCCGAATACTCGGCTTTTGACTCTGAGAATGGTCCTCCTGGGATTTAACGGCAGATAATTATTGTTTTGTTCGTCCTGGTGGAAACTCTCACTTATATTTTTACAACCCGCCGTTTTTGATGGGCTACTTAATACACTTTAATTACTCCCCCCCTACAGCGATGATTTTTGCAGTTCTTGATGTCATCTCCTCAGCTTGACCCTAAGCGGTCTGTTGTCGACCACGGCTCAATCCTCTGTTCTCGCCATCTGCCATTAGTTTTGTCGATCAGCAAGGAAGCGTCTTGGTTGCACCTCCCGTACACTCTGATAGCCCATCAGCCTCTTATGTCTCCTCATCGGCTGGACTCTAAGCGGACTGTGACCGATCGCGTCTGGCTTCCTCTCGTCTTGCCACTTTGACGCGGACAACCTCATCCGATTTAGGAATTCTGCCTTGATGCCTGTTTATAATTACTTATATACAAGAATATGCAGACCAGTCCTGTCCGACCCGTATGTTTGCCCTTCCATGAGTGATCTTTTTGCCCATAAAAGCCGATTAAATTACCTTCATTTTGTTTTTCTCGAGCGAAGACGTTTTTCCACTGCTCGCCGACTGTTTTTGATGTCTGACTGCTTATTCAGTAAGCATGCACTGAATAATGTACAAAGTTTGTCTCCTTGTACTAAAATTCACTTGAATATTTACTTTTAATTGCTGCAAAAATGACTCGAAGGGTACTCAACAAAATTTTATTTATTTATCTACGCCGTACTGGGACAACTGCAACTGCGCTGGCGCGGCCATCTGGTGTGCATGGACGACGAGCGACCGCCCAAACGGCTCTTCTACGAAGATGTCGCAACGGGTTCCCACTGACAAGGTGGTCAAGTCCGGCGTTATAAGGATACCTTGAAGACCTCCCCGAAGCGCATGCAAATCAACCCCGTCAACTGGAAAGACCTCGCCCGGAACCGACCTACCTGCAAGAGAACAGTGAAGACAGGCGCACCAATCTAAGAAGCCAACTGCATCACTGCCGCCAAAGCCAAGCGGGAAGCTCGCAAATTTCAACTGCCTCCGCCTCACAACGCCAACGCCCAACCACTCCCGAGGCCAGCGGACGTTCCGAGCACCAGTCGGTCTTATCAGATATCTTCGAACTAACTACAACACCCAAACGACACCACCCGATGTTCCTCGTCCACCTCTGCCACGTCTCCCATGTCGGCAATTAACACTGACCGCACTCTTGAACCCTGGCACCATTTTCTTCGCCCCAAAGCTTGCACCGCTCACAGCGACCAGCTCTAACAACAGCACCCCTTCTTCCACTCCCACTACGGATGAAGCGGCATCCGACGTCTCACCGGCCACCTCCTTCATCCCTACCGCCCTCATCACCAGCAATATGGACTCGATCTCAAATTGTCCAAATTGTGACCGCATTTTCATCTCACTCATGGACCTGGTCGGCCAACTGTGGGTTCATCGCACTGTGGTCAATGAACCAGTGCTCGGGGCTCCCAAATACATTTTTCATATCCGTCCCCACTGCTCACACTGCACACGCACAATCATTCAGCGCGTGGGCCTATTCGTTCACATGTGCCCTCATGAAAACCTCCGGTAAATAAACGCAGACGTGACCACATCACTACACATTCCCTCATCAATACGTGCACGAGGCATACACTTCTCTGACATCGCAAAGCGGTCCCTTTCTCCGTACGGTTCCTTTACTGCATGTGAGGTCCGATCGTTCTACCTCTTGTGTGTGTGCAATCCTGTTGTTTGAATATGCGGGGTTAGGCCGTGTGTGGCATGCGCAGACGAGCCCTTCATTTCTTTCAGGCACAACGCCCATTCCACGCACCAGACATCTGGTCGGCTCGAACAGTGGCCGAGGCTTGGGAAGGGGAACAGTGATCGAGGTCGACGTCTCAGCGCATCTTCCCCAATACAGTTTATCTGATGTACCTGAAGTTATCACGGTGGGCTCCCACCGTGTTTTGGGGCACACGTAGGACGTTGCGAAAATCAACGGTCGAAAGGTCATGGAGGTGTATATTCGAACGGTCGACTTCGGGGCCACTGGAGACCTACCAGTGCACACTCATTCTGCGTACCCACACTCAAAGAGAACTCACGTATTTAAAATGTGTTAGGGGCATATTACAACATGCTTGCGATTACTGCGGAAGATGTATGGATCACGATGAGTTTTGATGGCTGGCAGTAAGAAGTCACGCTGTAAAAGATACGTTTTGTCGCAACACATGCGGCCAAAATTTCTATAAGACACAAAAATGATGTCAGCTGACCACATATAACTTGGTGAGGAGGCTCATGGTGGAACTACCCGTTAACTAAAGAGGCATTTCCGGTGGTCTTATCGCACGCGTTCTCTTTCAGCTTTGTGCAGATAACCGCACAGGTGATTTGAGCTTACAGACTCGCTAAACTCCTGTCGCCACAGCGAACTGCCACGATCGCG